TATATATATATATATATATATATATATATATGTTTAGCATAGTTGTATTTATTAATATTGTAGGTGTGTGTTTTCTGGGCAGAAAAACATAGACAAAAGTTAGGAGGCCCAGGACACGTAGTAGAAATAAACGATGCAAAATTTGGTCATAGAAAATATAATCGTGGACGAAAAGTCGAAGGCAACTGGGTATTTGGAGGAATCGACAGAGAATCAAAGAAAATATTTTTAATACCTGTGAAGGATGGAACACAAGACACTTTATTAAAGTGCATACAAGAAAATATTGTGCCTGGAACGACCATAATGTCAGACTGTTGGAAATCTTACAATTGTCTTGACAATGAAGATTTCCAACATCTGACGGTAAATCATACGTATAATTTTGTTGATCCTGACACAGGTAGAATGTTTCCTAAAGAATTTCAATGACATTTACATGAAATTTACAAGTATACTTATATTCTTGACTTTTTGCAGGTGCACATACGCAAAATATTGAACGCGTTTGGAGAGAAGTTAGGGCAAATATCCCAAAATATGGGACTACATTTCATCATTTTGTTGGATATTTGTCTGAATATCTTTTCAAACGCGATCATGTTTTGGAAAAACGTATAGATATTTTCTTTGATGTCATTAGTCAATTATATCCTCCAAAGTACAGTGTCCAATGTCTCTAACGAACGTCTTCCTCAAATATGCAATAAGTGTTTCTACATGTGAACATTAATATTTCCATTGACACTTCCATATAATATTTATTTAATGTTTCAATATATTTGATATATTTTATTAAAGGCTTTAATATTTATATGTAACACAATATGTTTCAACACGAAAGTACTGTTCCTAAAACACAAAAAATCGGTGCTTTAAAAACACAAGTACTGATTCAAAAACAGAAAAAATCGGTGCTTTAAAAATACAAAAGTAGGGGAGAGTGGTGTCGGTTGAAACAAAAAAAAATATTTTTGCAGCTAACCAATTTATTATAAATAAGAAAAAATTGAAATTTTTTATGAAAACAAATATATCCTTTGGCATTAATTTTAATTTGATAGATATTTTAAAAAGTAACAAATTATAAATGATATTTATCATTAATGGCATCGCCGCAACTTGTTACAATTGACACCGCGGTGGTGTTCCAAACACTACGCCGCCCCGAACCCAAGCATTACTGTCTATACATCCCACTGTCTACATGGGTTACAAATATTCCAAGCGGACACTGTCTAAGCACTACTACATACGTTTAATTTATCACACATAGTCGGTATGACAGATTTCCTAACCTCCATAGTCGTCAACTTTAACTCTAAATATCTCGGTTCGCGAGGCAGAGCGACACTTTTTTCTGCCAGATTCTTTCGTTTCATGCAAAAACGCGTCGATTGAGTATATTTTTATCAAAATTCGAGATGAGCGGGCTATTCTTAATATTTACCTTTTATTTTTGAAACACACTGATTGGAGATGCCCTTTATTTCCGCAAGCTCTGCATTTGATCTCGCGACTTAATGTACACTGTGAAGCTAAATGTCCTTTACCGTATCTGTAACAATGAATATTTTTATTGTAATGTGTATCACGCAATGTATTATTTTTAGCAGTCTTTGGTGTGAATCGGTGCTCGGTCTTCTTTTTCTGGCAGACATCTCATGTCTTTGGTCTCGAGGTTGAAATCTTCTTTGAATCTGCGATCTGTACTAGTGCTGTACTCGGCCCTTGTAATTGGTCTGTATCCTTGGCCGACATCTCCATACTTGTTGCAAGCTGCACCGCCTTGTCGAAGGTTAAGTCTTTGGATTCCAAGAGTCTTGATTGAATTCTCGTGCTTTTTATGCCAAATACGAATTGATTCCTTAACGCTGTTTTAAGGTACGCCCCGAAATTGCAGTTGATGCTTAACTTTTATAATGCTGCTATGTATTGTAATATAGTTTCGTTTTCCAATTGACGACGTTGTTGGAAACGAAAATTTTCCGCAATTTCCAGAGGGGTTGGAGCGTAAAATTCTTGTAATTTAGCCACTACCTCGTTGTATTCTTTTTCGTATGGATCCTCTGGTGCGCACTTGTTGCAAATCACATCGAAAGCGGTTGGTCCAATATAATGTAATAAGTAGGATACCTTATTTTCAGCAGGTACCTTGAAGAGTTTGAAAGCACCTTCGAGTCGACTTAACCAGCGTGGCCAACTCGTCGTGGTATCAAACGGCTCGATGTGAAACGTGGCTTGTACACGTGCCTCCGCCATATTCTTTGTAGTGTAGTGATACTTTTCTCAGTGATAATTCTTTATCCTCGTCGCCAACTGTTATGTCGCGTACACGAGAGGAGGCAGGTTGTTGTTCACAATAACTACTAAAAGATATTGAATATATTTAAAGCTGTTTTTTCTAATTTTTGCGTGAATAAGTCAGCAATAATAGGTGAAAGTGGAGAACCCATAGGTGTGCCGTCATTCTTTGTATATAGTACTGTTGTTTGTATATAGTACTGTTAAATATAAAATAAGTAGAGTTTAAAACTAACCGTATTGCTATTAAAAATTCCGTTTTAGGTAAAGAAAATTTGTTTGAAATGTAATTTCAATTATCGTTAATACAATGGCAATCCTGTTAATTCCAATGATATATCTACAATTAAAAAGTAAAACCCAAATGGTACTATCTTTACTATTTACTTAATTCTACTGATATGTATCATGTGTTTAAAAGATTTAATATCGACAACTGACACCAAGTTAAATTCCATAAAATTTTATGTATTCGTATAAAAGATTTGATATCAGCAACTGGCGCAAAGTTGAATCCTATAAAATTTTTAATAATAAGATTTATTAAAAAGTAAAACACAAATGGTACTGTTTCTTGTTATTTATGCAAACTTACGTTTTTAAAAAAGGTAAAAAAAGCGCTAAGTATGCATGTTTTTCGTGAAGAATTATTTGGACCAGTTTCACCAACGCCAATTACTTAATTGGTCGTCGAATTAACTAATTGTGTTCGATAGCTGAGATAAATGCACGACACTATGGCCAGGACGGAATGAAACCCACACACAAGAATGAAAATGTCTCACAGTCAGATATATAGCTTACGTAGTTAGTATAATAATAATAATAATACAGTTCCCGCTTGTATTCATTAAAGTTAAATATCATATCGGCTTGTATTAAAATTGAGTAACATATTAATGAAAATTGAACAATGATGCCTTCATTCATTCGTCGAGTCATATGGGAGACGCTGTTTACATCCAACGCAGTTAAAAGGTTCTATTGTTAATTGTTAGTCAAACAATATTCTGACGACGACTTTGATAAATCGAGGATTCTCAGATCTCACTGATATAAGGGAAAAACTACTATCGTAAATAGCTATTTGAAGAACGATCTGACTGCTAATCACAATCAACTTAAAATTGACTGTTTATTTGTATGAAAGTATTATAGATTTGACTCGAGGAACGACATGTGCGCATAATGGTTGGC